CCATTACCCCTTGTCCTGTCACTACACTCCCTCATAAACACTCCCTCTCCAGCTTTCCTGTAGGCCCCTTCAGGTACTGGTAAGCCGCAATTAGATCTCCCTGAAGCCGCCTTTTCTCCAGGCTGAACAACCCCAACTCTCTCAGCCCGTCCTCATAGGAGAGGTACTCCAGCCCTCTGATCAGCTTTGTGGCCCTCCTCTGGACTCGAAAGCTACTTTATCATTCAGAAGATCTTAGCACCAAAAAAAAAAAAAAAAAAGTATAACCTACACTAAGACAACCATCTCAGTCACCCAGATAGACATAGAAGCAAGCACTGTTCTTCCCAGGGTGCTCCCATGCCTGTGCTAATACAGCAGTTAAAAGCAAATGCACCATGGACCTAGACAATGGCCAATTTTGTTTTATTCTTTGTTATTATCCTAACAGTTTATAGAATTAATCTTTCTGAGCCTAAATTAGTGTTCCCAGAGAACTATCTATTATAACCTCAAACTAGCATTCCTTCCTGCAAGGAGTTCAGGTTCCATATGCCTCACTTCAGCTTAACCGCCACCTCCTCATCCACTCTGGACTTAACTTTAATTCAAAGCTGGGTGTCAATTCTTCTACCTTGAATATTTTTGTAACTGCTACTACTCATCTCTGAAAAGCATCCTATCCACTTCATTTCTTGTCTCTAATTATCTATCTCTAATTATTAACTTGCTCCTCTCATGCAGAAGGCTACCAAATGACTTCTGGAAATCCTACCTACCACAGGAAACTGGAATTTCCTTACATGCATTCTTGCTAATTCCTTCACTGAGCTCTGAAAGGTTTGAGGCACAACTTCTTTTCACAAAGCTCTGTTGACCTTTCCACAATCTAATTACCACATGTCCATTACCACTGTAGCTTCTAATCAGCACAGACAACATCCTGAGTAAACGTCCATTTAATACTAGCCTTACACTGCATTTATATCCAACGACCTAAAGGTGTCTAGCTAAAGGAGTCATTACATACCACCTAGTAAAATTACTTCATCCCTTGCTTTCTATAAAGTTACTGGGTGAACATTGTCTGCTTCTAGCAACTTGCTTTCGTGTTGTTCATTTGTTCTCTAAACACTTAACCAATGCTGATTTGAGAGTGTTCCTCTGACGAGTTACCCATGAAAGATTCTTGGTAGGGCAACCTCTCCAAGATTTTCAACAATGAATACAGGTGCAAAGCAAAGTTTTTTTCTGCTATGGCCTTATCTTCTGAAAGTTTCTTTTATGAAGTGATCATCCTGTGGCCCTACAGCTCATGGTAGCTTTGCTACTACTAATGTGTTTAAAGGCAGTATTAAAGACTTTTCAAAGTTTATTACTCAAATTCTTTTGTTCTATCTTATACTTTTATATAATACTAGACAGATTTCATATCCTTACAGTTTTCCTCATTTGGATATTACTTAATCGTTCTAATAACTGTCTTTGCCTGATGTTCAGCCATGCCAGCTTCCTTTCACACTTCCCTTGATAGCTGGCATGCTTTTGGTCTATACCGCCAGCATGGCATCTTTAATTCTCAGCAGGCTTAAGTACTTTGCTACTAGTTGCCTCTTTCAGCTTTAACAAATTTCCCTAGTGTAGCTATACTGTATTTCCAATTGGGTTGGAAAATTTTGTAGTTCTTGAAAGAAAAATGAATCTAAGCATATTATGATCTCTCGTACAGACAGCATTCTCACTGTTAATATCTTGAGCCACATCCCACACACTCTTGGACCGATTTAAATAGTTGCCTCTTCTGTAACTACTCCTTAACCTTGATGTTCACGGAACAGCCACGGCTATTTTTATAACCAAGTTAAGGTTTTGATCCACTTGTTCGATGGTTGCAAAAGATGACGACAACAACACCACATGAGCTTTCTGCAGAAGTGCCATGAAGCATAATCTTATCCCATTCATAACATTTATTTCCCTTTACACAGGAGTTTTACCACCACCACTCCAGGTACTGCTGAAGCAAGAATTAAGACAGAAAATGAGGACATTGCAAATGTCTTTTTTCAGTTGTTAAGTATTGTGTGAGTTCCTATACACAGATAAGGTTCCAGTTGATTTTTTAATTTTTTTAAGGAGAGATTATTTTGCTGAGGACACATTCTACTACCCATTAGTCATGCTTTAATCCTATAGATTTTTTTTAATTCTCTGCACCAACACAGCAGAGATTCAAGATCAAGGGAGTGCAACGTAGATCCATTCAGAGAAGATCCAAAAAACAATTAAAGCAGCTCTCTAAACTACCATAGGTCTGTTATTATTATTATTATTATTATTTAGTTTTATTCCTAAAACTTATTTCTACTTCCAGACACTAACAAAGCAGAGAGGTGACAAAACTGCATTCTGAATACTCAAGATACGATGCTAGTGTAAAGCAAGTTTTGTTTTCCTTTCAGAAAAGTAATAATGCATTCCTCTAGAATCATCACTTGAATTGTGTTTCATTGCTTTGACAATCTGGATATGAAAACAACTGAATTCATTGACCAGTGGCTGCCCGTTCCCACTCCATACTCTTCCTCCTCCTCTATGGCCTTATCTTGAGGAGTGTCACACTTGAGCTGTGTCCCCATAGTCAATCCCTCCTTTCCCCCCACAACCCCACTCAATTTTCCAAAGTTTTCCATTTAAAAAAAAAAAAACAAAACTAGACTGCACAAGTGGATCACAATGCTCTACCGCTTCCCAATATAAAGCTCTAGTTAGTTTAATGTTTAATTTCCATTAAGTTCCAAACTGTTCCTTTGGGCATTGCTAGAGTATTACAATATTTAAATGAAAGTGATTTGTGATAGGGAAGTAATTGGTTTCACATTTCACAAAATTAGGAAAGTGGGAGACTACAAAAACAAAAAAAAAAGAAATACCAAAACAAACACTCCTCTAGCCTTCATTATTATTATAATATATTGGGTGTATCTCCAGTTCAAGACACATTTAACTGTCTGACCAGGTGCTCAGCAGATCAATAACAAACACACACAGACAGCAATGCCACCACTCACACCAAGACAACAAGGTGGGCACCACACATAAATTTCCACTCTAACTCTGCATTAAAGCATTTATTTTTCAGAGATACATTTCATGCTCAAACTTAGTCACTTCTGAATTTCTTTGTCAAGACTGCCAGGTAGGTTCGCTGCAGTTTATAACATGGACTTGTGTTAAAAGAAAAGGCTAAAGCATAAAAATCACTTGTCCTAAACCAAATAGATATACAAAATCTGTTACTGCCTAACATACACTTTTAAGTGAAGAATTCTCCCCAAAACATTTACAAATCTCTTAAAACCATCTCTCTCTAAAGAACAGCCATTTATAAATTACCAAAATGATGTTAAAATGTTTTCTGGATTTTAAAAGTGACTAATTACATTAAGTGTATGAAAACTCTTAATTTCCTCTTGGGAGTTTATATGCATCATAAGCAATTTTAGTTTTCTCATCTAATCACATTTTAGATATTTTATGTAGCTGCTGTGCAAGTCCATGGCTCTTTATGTAGGAATGTGAGGACACAGAACAGTCTTTGGCTACACAAGTACAGTCAATTTTCACAA